ACTTTCAGCAAGTGTTAGTTGTAAGATGAAGTTAAAAATTTACAATTCAGAATCATAGTGTGATTAGTATTTGGCCTCATGGCTCTGCTTGGATACTGTAAAACATGAGGGTTTTTGGGGGGGGCAAGTATAAAGCACAGCTTACAAATGTACTCTGTTCAAGATTTTATTTTTTTTATTCATGTAAAAATAGTCTAAACTTCTTCCCTATGAGATAAGATGTAGAACTGTGTCTGATAAATTTGACCGTATTAAATAATATAGTAGTGTTTTGACTCTTGACCCATGTAAATCCTGGTATCACAGTGTAATCTTGAGGCTGTTCTGGATAACAAATGATTACTACTTGCACTAACAGAACTGGATATGTGATTTAAAATTATGTGATTACATGTGCAGCTCATATCTCGCTGTCTGCAGGTTAATTGGACTATATTGTGCTTGCATTTTGAGGACTAAGATGCAAGGTTAATCAAGGTTTAAATATTTGTCCTTCACTAAGATTAAAAACGCCACAGTGGTATTACTCAACAATAATAGGGCTACTGTGTTCAGTGTTGTAGTTAAAGCTAAAGCTGAGGGGGGAAAAAAGTTGCTACATGAGATTTAGGGTGGAACTGCAATCAGACCAGGTTTGATTTCAATTGTCTGGGGCCAGATGACCATGTTTAGGCTTGGTGAAGGTCTGCCAGCATAGGCCAGAAATGGTGGATGTTTTGCTATTCTTAAAAGGTGGTTTGAGGTTACAGTTCTTGCTTGAAAGGGCTGATGTACTAAAATAGGCTGGAAGGAGAAGAGACTTTGATATAGTCCTAACGTAATGAACTGGGGTAGACTCTAGACTTGAGAATATAACTAAGACTGTACATGAGGTTGGGGCTATTGTGGTTGCTCCTGGGTAAGTAATAGTAGGCGTTCTGACTTCTGGGTTAGATAGGTTTTGCAACTGTCTTGGCAGCAGCCACCTGATGAACTTCAGAGCCATGACTTGCAATGGAATGGTTTAGGAGCAAATGTCAGTGCTAGTTCCTGCAAAAGCTTTAGGAACAGGATGACAAGCTAGCCATGCTGATTTGGGCTACAGTTAGACAGGCAGAGGTTGCTGTGTTCAAGTTAGAGTTAGGCCTGCTGCTGTGCCTAATTATGTGTTTGCTGTTTATGTTGGCTGATTCAACGCCATGCTCCACTACAGACTGGTATTTCCAGACTAGTTTCAGCACTGCTTAACAGTTGATTCACTGATGACTCTTCCTTGAGTCACTCATTGTTTAGCTGATTTTTATGTTTGGAACTTTTAACTTTCTACAAGAGATACTCAAAAAACCCCTAAAAATACTCGAGTAGTAAAATAATTGTTTAACTATTTCATGTATTTTAAAGGCAGGCATTTTTTTACTGATTATTTTGTCGTTGGTTTTGTTTTGGCAGGTTGAACGACACAGAGAACACCTCATTAACTACATGATATTTTTGAGAATAACACCTTTTCTTCCCAATTGGTTTATCAATATAACATCTCCTGTAATTAACGTGCCATTGAAAGTATTTTTCATTGGCACTTTTCTAGGTAAGAATTCTGGCTAGTGACTCGCTGTTTGGGGTAGCTTTCAGGGGTACTATTTGCACCTGTGTATGGGTTATTCAGCAGAGATCACCACCTAGTGGCCAGACAAACGATTACACAAGAATATTTTTGTATTTCTCGACGTGTGACGTTTGTACCGTCAAGATTTTTAGTAGTCAGGACTATTCTGATGCATTGAGTGAGAGGTAATGAGCCCAGTCTTAATTACCTGATTAAGGAAACATACATTATAAGAACACCGTATAGGTAAGTTTTTGTTTCACTCAATGACTAAACACCTTTCTCAACTTCTGTAAGTTCCTATTTTGAATTCAGTATAACTGTGAGGATGTACGCAACTTTGATCTGAAGGATTTTTAATCCCCACTCCATTTTGTTCTTCATACTTTATCTTCCTAGGAGTAAATTTGTAATTTAACTGATGTAGTGCTAAACACTTTAGGTTTGTAATTGGCGTATTTTTGCAAATGATTTTTAATCTGCTTAGGAAACTATGTGTATTTTTCCTTCATGAACTTAAAATTGGTTTGTAGAGAGAGCTTGGAATCTGCAGAGTCTAAAGAGCAAAGATTCTTTTATTAGTTACCTGTGTTTGCTATTTGGTATTAAAAATCTTTAAAATGTCATGAAGCCAGTTCTTTTGATAAGGGTTTTTTTGTCTTTGATTTTGTATTTACACTTCTCTTAAAAAACAAACAAACAAACAAAAACAAACACACCAAAAAACAAAAAAGAAACCCCAAGCATGCAAGGCAACAGAGTCTGAAATTTTGGGTCTTAAAAGTTTGACTAATTTATGTTTTGTTTTGTTTTTTTTTCTGACAAGCTATTTTTTTATTCCTTTGCCTTCCTACCATTCTAATTCCCCTCTCCAGGTGTGGCACCACCATCTTTTGTAGCCATTAAGGCAGGAACAACGCTGTACCAACTTACAACAGCAGGGGAAGCTGTTTCCTGGAACTCTGTTTTTGTTCTCATGATTCTAGCCATCCTCTCCATCCTACCAGCTGTCTTCCAGAAGAAACTGAAACAGAAGTTTGAATAAGGATCAGACTGGACCAGAATTCCCCATACTTCATCTCAGGATCAGCACTTCTGATATTTGTATATTTGCTTTTCTATTGGATCTTAAGCAATTAAAGAGGAGTCTTGTAGTTGCTAAGAATGTCTTTAAATGAACACATGGCCCAGAACTGAAGGAACTGTGTTCGGAAATGTACTACATATAGTTTTGTAACCAAACCATCCGTGTTTTACTTTGGGAGGGGGTGTATGTGGCACTGAGGATGAGGGAAGTGTAAACACAGATGTAACGTTTTGCTCTGATTATATGCAGAGCAAAAAATGTAATGTAGACATAAACTACGGATAATGCTTTCTAAAACTTGCAGGAAACCTTAACTATTCAGTCCAGTTTTGTAATATTCTCTGTAGGTGTGCATGTGATCTGGTCTGAGTACATTTCCTCATCATCAATATTTCTGGGTTTTTTCCCTTTGGGAGTTCCAAAATAATAACAATATAATAACGGTGCTCACTCAGAAACAAAGGGGGTTTTGCAGTACTTTAATTACAATGATATTATCATTCTGATTGTTTACTTCTACTTACTAGCGCTGTGTGGATTTAAATACTTGAACCGACATCTGCTTTAACAGATTTAACTGGATTAACAAAGGCAAAGTGTGACATCATTCCCTCTTGTCCTCTGTAAAGTTTTATTCTCAGAAAGAGATGAAAATGGAGAGAGCAGGTTAGAATTTTGATCGTGGCTGGTTGACTATTTTGACTTTCTAATTTTTATCTTTTTACTGTTGATTATTTTGCCAATATTTCACTTGCTTAGATTTATCCTACCAATTTAAGAAAATGATTATGTGATTATATAAACCTTTCAGCAATTGTCATGGTTCAGCCCTAGCAGGTAACTTAGCACCACCAGCCACTTGCTCATCCTCCCTTTTCCCCCCCTCCACAGGGCAGGATGGGGAGGAGACTCAAAAGAATGTAAACCCCACAGGTTGAGATAAGAACAGTCCAGTAACTAAAAAAAAATACAGTGATAATAGAATACTAACAATAACAACAACAATTATGTATAACAGGAAACAATAACAACAAAAAAAAAGCTCAGAAAGCACAGTTGCTGACCACCTGCTGACCAATACCTAGCCAGACTTGAGCAGCGATCAGTCCCTTCTGGGTGACTCCCCCCAGTTTATATGCTGGGCATGACATGCTGTGGTATGGATGTGGTAGCCCCTTTGGCTAGTTTGGGTCAGGTGTCCTGTCTCTGCTGTCTCCTGGCTTCTTGTGCTCCTCCTCACTGGCAGAGCATGCAAGACTCAAAAGTCCTTAACCAGATAAGCACTGCTCAGCAGCAACTCAACCATTGGTGTGTTATCAGCATTATTCTCGGACTGAAGTCAAAACACTGCACTAAAACTAAAGCACTGCACCAGCTGTTAGGAAGAAATTTAACAGCTGAAACCAGGACTGTATCTGCCCCTTATTCCATACCATTTATGTCAAGCTCATGTTCCACATTTTCCAATATACCAGTATCTTTTTTAATCTCTCTTTTATATATATGTATATATACACACATATATATACATATATATACACATACACAGAGGTATCATTTCTTAGCCTGTGGACCATTCCTATGAAGTTTGCTGCATTCATTCAGTCCGTGGTCTGTTTTAGCAGTCCTTCAGGGCAGGAGACATGGTGTGTGGTGTTGGATTGTTGCCTGATGATGTCACCACTGAGCTCATCTGGTCTCATCAAAGTTCATTCTTTGTTGGGGTGATGATCTGAGGGATGTCAGGTTCAGTTGATGGTGACTTGAGGACAGTACTGGGAGACTCCTGCTGCTGGTTTTTCCCATGACTATTCTCTGCTGATGATCATGATAGTACGTATTTTCAGAGCCCTGAGTGGCAGAGATGGGCATATAGCTGACGGGCTATAGAAGCCTTATATAGCAGACAACAGCATGTAATTTGAGTTTATTGGCTGTTTTTCCACTAAAATTAAATCCCCTTGAGGAACACACCAGACTTCCACATCTTCTCACATTATCCACCAAGTATATCCAGCTTCCTGAGCAAAAGCAATCCCATGAGTGGGTTTGCCTTTACCTGAAGCAGGAATAACCCAGACTCTTCCCCAGCAAATTTGTTATGTGCACCACAGGAACTTCGTTCCCCTCTGCAGTACATAAAAGTTCTGATTGGGCTGGGCTAGTCCTGTTGGCAGATCCCCTAGTGTTGACCAACCAGGTGGCTTTTGGTAAATGTGTACCCCAATGTTTGGAAGTCCCACTGCCCATTGCTCTCAGTGTAGTTTTTAACAGGCCATTGTACCGTTCAATTTCCCAGGGGCTGATGGGGATGTGCTGTAGGGATAGTCGTGCTGTGGTATGGAAGAAACTACTAGAAAGAAAATTAACTGTTAAGCTGAAACCAGCAGAGCAGTGTAATTTTAATTACCATTTCTCAAGCAATACATAAAAAGAGTATAATAAAATTTTCCATTGCACGTTGATTAGCTAGAAGAAATGTCAGGTAGGCAAATTGGTGCAATTCTTACTAAAAGCTGATTCTGAATAATATTCAAAGCATCATGTAACAGAAGGCTTTTGTGTCAGTGTATATAAAATTGACAGGATCGTTCCATTGTCTGGTAAGTCAGTAAGTGGCAAGGGGCAACCAGCTATGATTTACATTTAAGCCGAAGTATATATATATTCATTCAGTAAGGTATGTGATACCTCTCCTTGTATGCTTGTAGCTTGTAATGTTAGTGGAATTCTGTAAAGTGATGCCCTGATCAGCAAGGAACTGGGGGGTGCATTTAAGTTTTATCCTACTGAAACCAGTGCTGCTTATATGCTTTAAGGTGGTGCCCCTAAAGTATCTTGCTGAAATGGCAGTTGGCACATTAACATATGCTCCAATTCAGTTGTTTATTTGTCTGTATCTTCATGTTATCATACAATAGATCATTGAGAGCAGTTCCATAAATGTGATAATGTGGAAGGTACTGCTACCTTAAAGGGTTTTTTTTTTTTTGTAACATAATGTTAATCGACTCCTTCATCACAGTATTACATGTAAATATTCAGTAAATGTTATTGATACACTGTCTTTTATTTAAATTCAGGATGTACAGTAAATGGTGTTTTTGACATAGATGATTAAAGGAATTCATATCACTACTGTTTGCAAGTTTATCGTAAGATCATTTAGCTTCAACAGTTGGTTTGTTATTAGAATTTACTCTAAAAGTGTACTTTATTGGCATTTAAAACTGAGCAGTGATGACTTCTGTTGCTGCAGTTTTGATCTCAGAGGTTGCCTACCCAGGGGATTTATTCCATAGTAAATGTGTGAATTCAGCTGTTGTAAGCAAGTGTCTCCCGGACTGTTGGCGTGTGAAGTTGCTGTACATTTACAGCCTACTTTTCTGCATAGTTATTCATGCAGATGAATTGTCAGAATAAACTACTTACTACTTACTGCCCAGTGGTTTTTCTTAGAATTTGTCTCAATTTCTGGTCAATTACAGATGCTGTTGTGAAATCCTTTCTGTGCTGTATAAAGCCAATGTTTGGTGGAACCAAGGTTCTAAAGACTAACGAGGGAACACTAAATGCTAAAGAAGAAACTGAACTTTTTCAGTTTAATGTGAATCATGCTATTGCTTGACATTTTCACTTGAGTTGTATTTCACTGTGTAGATGGGATCACACTATGTCATTGGAAAACCTATTGTGTTTCAGCCACAGACTGTGTTCCCATCACAGTGGCTAAAAGCCTTAAGACTTTAAAAAGGTCAAAACCAAGGTCCTTTCCTTTTGCAAAACCTTAGTGGTTTGTTTTTTGGTTTTTTTTAACCTGTTCCTTCTGTGTTTATGTTCAGCTGCCAATGGCCTCAAGCGGCTTCCTACCCCACAAGGACTAAGGGTGGTGAGGAATAAGGAAGGCCTTGTGGAAAAAGATAAAAAAGCACTGTGTTGTGGAATACTCTACTAGCCTACATTTTTAGGGAATCCAGCAAGTGATCCAAGGGATAGCTGTAATATTTTCATAGGAAGAAAGTGACTACCATGAAATGAACCAGGACAGGCAGGTGTAGCTTTGATTTTACTTGCAAGGAGTTTTGAGCTGTTAGGTGACCTGTCTATCTTTTGAACTGTTTTGCGATACGTGCATGCCATCACTAAATGTCTCTCGCCATTTGATAATAAAGCTATTACATAAAACATGGAACATTGTATCTTTTAGTACAATGAAGCATACTAAACTTCACATTAAGCTTATCTTTATTATTGACCTGTTTAAAAGGGATGAATTCTTAAATGGTGTTTTTAATGACTGATTAAAAATTAAACTGAAGCTGTTTACATCTGTAGATGAGATTAATTTTGTTTCTACCTCTATTTCAGAATATGTAGATACACTTGACTTTTTTGTCTAATTTCTCACAACAGTAATTTTGAAAAGTTTTTGTATTTTGCACTGAAAGGCGTAATTTGCTTTTTTATGGATTCTTGATGAAAGGCTCATGTGCTGAACTTATAATGCATCTTCCCTTTATATTCTGTTCTTTCCAGTTTATGAAATTCTCCCTTTGTGCCTTGTATAGAAAATTGATGCTGAAAGCTTGCCAAAAGTTTAAGAAAACAGAAGTAAAAGTTAAAAGGTATGAAGTCTTTCTTAAAAAGTTAGTGAATGATGCTATTATGTAAAGTCAAAGCATGGCTTTTGTTGTTAGATAACTCTGAAAGACTTTTGTGTGTTGTTCCTGAGCATATTCATCCTGTATAGTTTCTGTGATAACCTATTTTTATGACAGTAACTAAAATGCAGTGTGGATTGCTCTGCTTTGCATTAGAACTGATGAATGTTTCCTGCCTCATACTCTGCAGTTCACTGGGATTAAGCTGCCCTACCAACAGAACAGACTCAGCCAGGTAGCTGATCCAGGACTGAAATACCCGGCAGTTACTGCAGGTACAATTTTGTGAATGTACAGACTAACTGAAATAGGAGCCTTTGCAAGAGTGTTATACAGGAATGAAATTTGTACCTCCAGTATTTTGCACTAGAAATTTATTAAAGGAACAAACCAGGAAATGCATTTCTTGTTTAGTCACATACTTTTTTTCTTTCTTGTAATAATGGTGGAGTAGTAACTCTGTGAATTGTGGGAGCTGAAGCACTAAGAATCATGCCTTCTAGTCAAATTCCTATGTTCAAAATTAACTTGGACACAGAGAACAAATCCTGTCCCAGAAGTGCTGCTTGAGTGCCTGTCCGTTCCTTATCACCCACTACAGAGCTGTGCCAGAAAGGGGAAGTCAAACTATCCCTCAAATATATAAAACTCTATTTTTCATAATGTAGGACAATCGCTTTTGCAAGATTACAGAACAGTTTTGTGTGGTTAGGGTTTTCCTTCTTGTTTGTTTGGGTTTTTTGTTTTTGTTTTTACCCCTCCAGAAGGCTGAAAAAAATACAGGTCAAATTACAGAAAACTTTCCTTCTGTCATAAATGGTGTGAGGTTTATGAATCATGTATTTCAGTGTAGCAGTGTTAAGAGGGAAAAGTTTTGACAGGAGTGTGGGATCCAGAGTGAGCTTTTCAGATTTCCCCTCAAAGACAAGTCAGTTATTCTGATTATTTCTATGACCAATTGATGTCTTGCAATGATACATATTTCTGTTTACCTCTCAGCTAGTGGCTCTATAGCTCCAGGTCACCCAAACTGAAAGAAGTTATGGACTTTAAATAATGGCAATTAATATGAATAAGAGCATAATATGTTTACTAACATACCGTAACTCCCCTTCCTGACCTACTGTATTAATTCATGTTTCATTGTTTCCTAGTATACAAGGAAGAATTTGGGTTTGGATTATGACAGCTAAATCAATGACTGGTGTATAACTATGCAAGAGGCTTGTAAAAACTTCTTTCTGTAGATGGTCTTCAAAGCACAGAAAATTCTGCTTCTGCACACCTCTAGGACTCCAATATCATCCTCATAGTCTCAGGTCAGCAGGCTCTGGAGAGGAGTGGGAGTGCCACAGTGGAATATACCTTTTAAAATCTTGTATTGTAACTAAGATGTAATGTTATGGGAATAAATTCTGATTTTTCTTTCACACTTGCCCTTGAGCAGTTGTATCCAGTAATTTGGAATTTGCAGTGTTTACTGTACTTGGAAAAATTCTATGCCGTGAAAAGGTGCTTTGAGCAAATAACAATTCCACAGACTTTCTCAACATCATAAATAATACTTAGAAGAATTCATAATGTAGTTTAGTGTTGTGGCCTTACTCAAGAACATCTAAGCAATTCACAGTTTACTGACAAAATTGCCATATTTTGGGTGTTTCCTGTGATGGAAATGTTGCTCAAGAAGACTGACAGATTAAAGCTACTAGCCTTTGAATTAGACATCAGAGATATTCCTTGTGGTCACTAGGCAGGAGTATTTCAGAAATTAAATAATCATGGGGTAGAAGATACGATAGAAGGAATGGGAGGAGGAAGCTCCAACTGTTTGGGTACATGTACTGGATCGTAGAATCATATCATCACAGAATAGTTAGGGTATGAAAGGACCTTAAGGTCATCAAGTTTCAAACTCCTGCCATGGGCAGGGACACCTCACACTAAACCGTATCACCCAAGGCTCTGTCCAACCAATCCTTGAACACTGCCAGGGATGGAGCATTCAAAACTTCCTTGGGCAACCCATTCCGGTGCCTCACCACCCTCACAGTAAAGAACTTCTTCCTTATATCCAATCTAAACTTCCCCTGCTTAAGTTTTAACCCATTACCCCTTGTCCTATCACTACAGTCCCTAATGAAGAGTCCCTCCCCAGCATCCTTATAGGCCCTCTTCAGGTACTGGAAGTCTGCTATGAGGTTTCCATGCAGCCTTCTCTTTTTCAGGCTGAACAGCCCCAACTTTCTCAGCCTGTCTTCATACAGGAGATGCTCCAGCCCTCTGATCATCCTTGTGGCCCTCCTCTGGATTTGCTCGAACACTTCTATGTCCTTTTTATGTTGATGACTAGATTTAAGTGATACGAGGCTGTAAGCTGGCTGGGAAAGCAGAGAATTTATCTGACAAAGTGTGAATGAGCTTGTCCCTTGCCCTGTTGCATAGCAAGGCATCTGTGCATTTAAATATTGCTGCTCAAGAGCATTTCTAGTAATCCTCTGCTTGCTTACCAGCCCATCTAACTTTATTTGCTAAGTCTTCTAAATATGTGGCTATTGCTGGAAATGTTAAAATGCAAGTAAGAACAATTCTTTGTTTTCCCCATTTTAGTCTTTATTTGACAAAAAAACCCACCAATATCTGTGCTGTTTCTCTAGACCTTCTTGCAAGTCCTTCCAAGACTCTCAGGCTTATGAACTTTTGTTTATAAGTGTTGACTTACGAACTACAGTTCAGGCTTACTCAAAAGAAGTTTACGACATGCTGCGTATTGTCCTTTGCCACACTGAAAGCAGATGGAGAAGCAAAATGTGCACAAAATGGCTAGAGAACATAGCAGAATAAGAGCAATCAGTTGTAGCTAGTTCTGTTCTCTGTTGCTCTCTTCCACAAATCAGCAGGCAAGCTCAACACAATCTAAATGTATATGCTTACTGTAAAGTTAACATGAGACTTTCACTCTAATATTGCCTCTAATTACCCTGCTATCTTTATTGAAATCTCTCCCTCAGGTTCACTAGTGGCTTAAAATTGAACTGCCAGAACTGTCAATCAAATCTAAGCAATACCTTCATTCATTGATAACCAGTTCTGTGACACATACAGTCTTAATCAAGTGAATACTAATAGTGCCAGTGCTTCTTACAGTTTTTCCTATCTCCCAGAAGGATTAAATAGCTGTCCACAATTCACCAGGCAAAATGTCATTAGAGCTTAGTTACTGTACTGTAAAAGGCTGTAGACCGTTGACAGTGAAGTCTTACAAGCTGCTCTCTCTTAGTATCCACAAAGAACTCGGTCTGTAAACTCATATATGAGAAGTTTTTCATGCTTGATAGGATGTTTAGTTAAGACTGGTGTCTGATGAGTTCAGCATTATGGATGCAACCTTAACTACTCAGGCAGTCCTAGATAATAATCCTAAGAGACTGAAAAGTTTTCATTTCTCCTTTTATAAGCCCTACAGGGGAGGGAACAATTCTGATGTGAAAGCCATGAATAGAGAACTGAGTGAGGAGGGGAAGGGGAACTGCTTACAGACCTAGTTTTAGTCTAGCAAGGCCATCTGAGGCTCCTCCATGGTCAGTGGAAAGAAGTACTCTCAGCTCAGAGCATGGGTATGTGTGACTAGTTCCTCAGCAGCTTGGTTTGAGTAATTCTTGTTCTTCCCCAGGGAAACAACCATTTCCTTTCCATGCTGAGCCCAAGGGGAGGGATTTCACTCAGCTATGCAAGCCTGTTAACAGAATTGTCCAAATGTTAACTCAAATGGAAAAAAACCCCAACAACAAGGCACTCAAATACCCTAACACCAAACAATGCCAAAAGCACATCCTTGGCAGCCACCCTCTCTCCCCCATGACCTGGGCTAGTTTCAGGGTATGGCTGCTCCACCAAGCTGCTGAGTCACAGCCACAGGGGCAGCAGCCTTCAGGGAGCAGGGAGGAGAAGCTGTAGGTGACAGAGAAAGATGGCACTGGTGAGGCTGCGCCTTGCATACTGTGCTCGATTCTGAGCCCCTCACTACAAGGGAGACATTGAGATGCAGGAGCAGGTCCAGAGGGCAACAAAGCTGATGAAGGGTCTGGAGAACAAATCTCATGAGGAACAACTGAGGGAACTGGGGTTTAGTCTGGAGAAGGCTGAAGGGAGACCACCTTGTTCCCTACACCTACCCGAGAGAAGGATGAAGAGATGGATGATCTCTTCCCACATAACATGTTAGGACAAGAAGAGCCTCAAGCTGCGCCAGGAGAGGTTTAGATTGGATATTAGGAAACATTTCTTCACTGAGATGGTGATCAGGCATCAGAACAGGCTGCCCAGGGAGGTAGTGGAATCACCGTCCCTGGAAGTGTTCAGAATGAGGCCCTCAGTGACACGGTTTAGTGGTGGACTTGGCAGTCCTGGGGTAACGATTGGACTTGAGCTTAAAGGTCTTTTCCAACCTAGTTGATTCTATGGTTCTATATGCTTTTGAAGCACCACCGCAACTAAACCGTGCCCTGAGTGAGCAGCCCCTGGCAGAGCCGCCTTGTTCTCTCCAACTGCAGAGGGGGCAGAGCCTCTCCTGGCTAAGGAGAGCCTCTGCGGGAAGCCCCTCAGCCCCCGAAGCTTAGACAGGTAACTACGGTCCCTCCCCGGGAGGTACGCGGCACACCCTACGGCTACCCGCCCACCTACCCCACCGTCCCCTCAGACAGCAGGCGCGCCCCGCCTAACGGCCACCGCGCGAGCCCGCCCCTGCGCGCGCACCGCCCCCCGGCTGGCCCAGCAGCATCACGTCATCGGGGAGCCCAAGACGCAGGCGCAGCATTGCGGTTCCCTGCCCGGGCCGCCCCTCCGCAGGAACCGCTGGGGGCTGTACCCACAATGCCGTGCGGCGCTGCCCGCTCCGCTCCGTCATGGAGGCGGCCGGCGCAGCTGGCGCAGCTGGCGCAGCCCCGCCGCCCGCCGCCGCCCGGTCTCTCACCTCCTGAGTGCCGCGCACCCCTCGGGCTCCAGCATGAGCGGCGGCAGCGGCGGCGGCTCCTCGGCACCCGGCCGCTTCGCCGACTACTTCGTGATCTGCGGGCTGGACACTGAGACCGGGCTGGAGCCGGACGAGCTCTCCGGTGAGTGGCAGCGGGGCTGGGAGGCGGCGGCCGGTGGCAGTCAGCAGGCAGCTCGGCTGTGGTGGCGGCGACAGCAGTTCTGGGGGCGGGGTCCAACGTCGCCGCCTCCCTGCTTCGCAGACCCCGGGGCGCTGCGGGGAAGCCGGGGGAGCGCCCCCCGCCCCGGGCATCGGCGCCTGGGGATCTGTGTAGCTGCCCTGAGTGCTCGACCTGCAGGAACGGCCAGCTGTGCACAGCCGTGTGTGCGTGGAAGTGTATCCAACTTCTGACAAACCCGACAGAGTACCGCTCTTAAACGGATTTTTCAAGGGGAAGGCGCTGTGGTGGCCGTGGTTATCATTTTAGGTCATCTCTATCTTAGCCCTCCACTTGGAGCTTGACTGTATTTATCAACTTTTAGTCAGGCTTTTGGACGTTTGAAACATGCAGGGAATCTTAATGAATTAGGTTCTGGAGAGAAAGCAAAAGACTTCTTGCTTGTTCAATATTAAGTTTTGTTGTAGCATAGGATAAGAATTCTATTCCAGCAGTATTGGAAAATAAATTAGATTAGGAACTATTTATTCTGTTAGATGAGAATGATCACACCAAATACGCAGCTAAATTGTGTCAGACTGTGCCACAACACTGCTTCAAACCTGTGTTTTTAAGACTAAAATCTGTTCTTTGTTTTAGCAGCACCTTGCTTCAGCTTTAGTTTCAGTGTACTGGCTTCAGTTAAATGACGTTGTTGCTTAGTATCCTTAGCTGTCCAGAAATAAACAGGAATACAGTGGTGAAAACCTGACCTAACATCAAAAGTTATTTTGTGCGTTTGAGCTCAGAACTTGACCAGTGATGTGCTCTTTCTCCCCCGCCTTTTTAATTAGCTTTGTTTCTAAAAGATGTCACGAGAGTTTTTTTACGTCATTGTATTTAAACCCTCCCTCACTAAGTAAAACCTTGTTTTTTTGTGAAACTGAATTTGAGTTACTAGAACTGACTTACATTGAACTCACCTCAACTTTGGCTGTCATGGAAGCTTCCTTTTTTTTTTTTTTTCTTTCTGATGACTTCAAACAGAATTTCTCGTCCTGAGCAATATCTTACCCTAAAAGAATTCATGTTTGTCTGATGTTAAAATAATTGTAGACTACAGTTTGAGACTTGAAGACTGAATACAGCATATTGGCCAATTCTGTAGTGGCACTTTAATTTACAGCATCAGTTTGATTTAAGAAACCCAAAAGAACAAATGCAATACAATTTAATTGAAAGATACATGAGGTTCCGTAGATTTTTTTGATGAAATCACCAGTGAGCAAAGTTTCTAAATTGAAAACAGTTTCTGGTGTTGATTTTGTTATTCATTTATTATATATCTATTTGTGTAGCATAGTGCAGGGCATACTCAGTAATACTCTCTGGTCTTGATAGAAACATAAATAACTTTCCTCATATAATTAAACTTAAAAGCATCAGTGTGTTATTCTGAACTAGCTAATAGGAAACTGGAAGATATCAGTGCTTTATTTAAAATACTCTGTTTGAATGCGCAGGTCTGAAAGCTGGTTAATTTGTGGTTTTTCTTATATTTACTTTCCTGGTCAAGGACTGCATCTACAGTACAT